TGGACAGCCATTTATCCGGGATGGAATCAGCATTCCTTTCCTGGGTTGAATTAGATGACCTCTGAGATCCCTTCCAACCCTATAACCCTAACTTTTAAATAAAGAAATGGTTATGACTAATTTATTTTTTATTCAAACATTAAATCTTCAGCAAGTTGTTAACATCAACACAAACTTAATCATTTCCAATTTTCCTATATCTACAAAGCTATTAGTTGTAAACTAGAGGGATTCGGGATAATACCAATAGGTATATCTGAATAACTACGGATTTTAATACAACTCTGAAAAAAATCATGCAGCAGCTCTCACATGCAGATTTTGCTACAAAAATCTGTCCCTCTGGTATTTGGCAGCCAATCTGAAATATGAAGATTGAATAAGTTTTCTTCATATGGTGGTATATCCGAAAAGGATGTTCTGAATGGAATGAAAGTAACTCAGTATATCATTTCTCTGAATCTTTTAGTTCTCTGTAGATATTAACAATTTATGTCATAAGTTCAATACAACCAAACAATTACATATATTTGGCCAGCAAGTATCATGTCTCCACCCAAGTAATTATCTCAGCTTTCTTCAAAACCAGAAAAGCAAGATCTAGCATCAGCTACTGACAGAAGCCTAGACGTAACATAACCAACTACAGTAGTTGTAACCATCAGAAAACTTTAAACATTTACTAAGAAAGGAAGAAAAAGGAAAAGGAAGAACTAAGCAAAGATCGAGGTTGTGCTATATTCATGGTGTTTGTTGCACATCACATATGGTGTTCCTGAAACTTTGCTAAAGAAAAGACAAGTATTCATTAGATAAGAACAAACTTTTCTGTAATATCTGATGCTCCACTAAAACAAAGTAACTAGATATTCATTTAAAGTTTTGTACGGAAAAAGCTATATTGAAGTCTTTAGATTTCTTCTTGCCAATTGGTTTCCAAACCAGCTCGATGCTTCCCTAAATATTAAAAAGTAGCTTTTAGGCAACATAAATTATTACACACTTCAAGTGTCCCTTTCCCATGGAAGCCAAAGCAGGGCTCTAATTGCCTTGCCTAATAGATGTGTCCCTTTTCAGGTCACTCATTTATAGCTTCATCTTCCTCTCAAGATTGTTGCGATAGGAAGCTACCTACACACTATGATCTATCTGATCAAAAAATAGATTGTACTAATTGTTTCATAACATGGTAGTAATATTTTAATATGAACTTTGTGATATTTACCTGATAAATGGAATTTAAGTAACTAAAATGCATTTTGACTTATGATATGATTTATACTATGGTCTTCAATGGGTTTCTCTGATGAATCAAGGAGACTGTGGATTAATCTGGATTAAATACACTTATATCCCACTGTTCATATAAAGAGCAGTTAACAATAATTTACTTGCCTGAACACTACAGATGATCAAGATGAAGTATGCTAGTCCAGATTTTGTGAAAATACAAAAACAAACTGAATTTCTTGAACTGATTCCTGACTGTGCAGCTGAGTATCAGAAATGATATATGGTGTAATATGGACATACACTCGTAAGACAATAGAACTTAATCAAGTTAATTAATAACAATTGCACTATAATTCTATACATGTCTTTTATGAAAAAAGTCCCTAGAACTCAGCGGAGCTCATTCAGAATAGGAAGGATGCCTGCAACCTCAATCAATTTCAGCATCTAGGGGGAAGGGGGCAAAAAAGCAACAATTAAAAAATCCTCTGGAAGTCATTATATAAATCCTTGTCCATTCAAGTAGATTTCACAGAAAATACCCAATAGAATGGTTAGCGGTTTTTTTTTTTAAAAGTACCCATATAAATTTACTCCAGGATTAGTCTTTATTTCTATAAAATAAAAAGCATAAAACATGCCATGTCTCTAAAAAGTTTAAAAAGAGCATAGTTTGGAAAATGCATGAAAAGAATGTCTAGTTCGCAAATTTAAAAAGCAGGCGCATTCAGTGTTTCTAGGCTGCAGCAATATAATATGCCAGAGTTCATATCTTAAGATTTTTCCAAATTCCATCCGAGCCCCAGCTTGCCCAGCAATGAAAATAAAAACTTGAATCTCACTCAGCTCAGCCATATATTCCCTATCACAAATGACACAAGACAGAAAATGTCCAAAGCTTGTCTGCAATCAGACTGGAACAGAAACACTCTTTTTATCCCATTACTTGGTTCTGAAGAATATTTTATTGTTATATTGTTAATACTAGCCGTGATCAACCCAGAAGTAATTAGCACTACATTCATATACACATCTACTCAAGCATAAGCTATACTGACTTCAGTAGGACTTATTACTACATAAATGTTTGAAGAACTGTTTTGTGTTATCACATATTATTTAATCTGAGAATAAAATATTTTAAAAGAAGCAACTCATTCGAGTGTTCTAAATGAATTGTATGAAATCATATAGATATTGAATGAAGCTAACAGCAGGAGACAAATTTCATACCCTTGAGAAATATCAAGGATGAAATTTATTAAGTGCAGCTCAAGAGGCAGTAAGATTATATATTTTAATGTCACTGAAATAGCAAATACCCTGCCTTAACATATAAATACTAAATTCACTTCATATTAATGACAGCAGTAATGTCCAAAATAGTCCTCTATTGCTATAAAGAACAATAAAATTAGAGGAATGATATGATTTTCAACTACATAAAAATTACAGGCATACTGAAAAATCCCAATGAACTGGATGGAAATGGATAAAGATAACTATTCCAGTTATCAGCAAAAATATGCCACAACCCATTTCTGAGCAGATCAAGCCTCATCTACATATGCCTAAACCATAGTGCAGCAAAAAAAAAATTCAATTTACACTTCCTTTTTTACTCCTCTCAAGACACAGTTTAAAACAGATTTTCAGCAATCTACTGATACTGCAACTGCAAAGGCACTCTCATGCAACCCCACCAATCTGACTTCTGAAGTCAAAGGCACAAAGAAATTAATGATTTTAACACAAAGTCACTACTACAAAGTTATCTGGAACAGCTGCAAGTAGTTTAGGCAGATACAATCTTATCCAGTGCACATTGACTCAATCCATGACTGAAGAAATATCAAACTGCCAAAAGTAGCAATCGGGTAATTTTGTCATTGTATTACAGAGACCATTATATACACTTGATATTCCAATTAAGGCTTACAAAGGAGAGAGTAGTAAAATATTTACCTTAGAAAAAGAAGCTCCAATAGGATAAACAAGGACAATAGCAACAAAAGTTATCAGCTTCCTATATATTCACTGTTGCTATTGCATCTGAGTTGTTACCAGCATCACTAGTAATTTTAAAACTGACAGAATAAAAAGACTATAAAAGGAATCCGGAAAAATGTATACTTGCTTTAATTCAGTAATAGAGAATATATTTCACTATTACAATATACTTCCCACCTATTTTGATGTTAACTATTGTGTTGAAGTATAACATAAATAGTCGTGCAGATCTTCTGCTGAGCTACAGAAATACACATTTTTATGTTACAACCTTCAAAGTCTTTCTGAAGAATAATAATGCTTCAGCACACGTTCTCTACAGAATAAAAACATCTGTATTATTCTATACTATATTTTAGAAGATGAATCTAATTAGGAAAATCATCCAGAATCCCTAATTTTCACAATGAAATTATATTAAAAGGAACCAGATATCTATCCTCATTTCAACTAACACTTCCCATCCCCCAAATAGTTTCAGCATTTTAGAAATGTAAGAATGTACCACATTCATCTTACTTTGTAGTCAGCTTGGGAATCCCAAAAATGATCCCATGGATCATAAATAATCTATGTTCCTACTGACTCAACTCTTTTACAAAATGTATTCTTCAGCGCTGTTACACTGATTCCAAAACCAAGCATTTATTTCTTGTAACATCCAAGTACCTGAATGGCAAACTAAAATGTTATTGGCTATCTGCTAGGGAAAAAAAATGACATGCACCTTTTCTATTTATGATATTGCACCTCATCGTTGTCGTCATCATACAAGCTTGTGGATTTTGCACTTATATAATATTAGATGAAAAGTTCATGCTTTAAAATTATCACATGACCCTGATCACCATCCAATATACTAGGATTCCCCAGTTGTTGTTCAATTCCCATTAGTTCCAGTAAATATAACCAATAATGAAGAGTGAGAAATGCAGGCCAGACCAAAGTTGTTAACAAGGTTCCTTTTTCTACAGTGGAAGAGTATCTTATAGATTCCAAGACTACATCATTCCCAAGTCTCCAACTGCCGAGAGGAAACGGGGTGGGTAGAAATATAAATTGGTAAGGGAGGGGAAACAACATGGCCATAGGCCAACCATAACATTTCTCTTCTATTACACGAACAAACGTTTTAGTATTTAGTTCTGGAGAACCAAATAAGTCTGGCTGCTAAAATGACTCCAGAGGTAGAGATAAACAATCCCCTAAAAAGTGCTCCATCAATGGAGGTTTTTAAGGAGAGACTGGACAGTCACTTGTCTCAGATTGTATAAGTTCTCCTGCTTGAGCAGGGGGCTGGACTAGAAGACCTCCAAGGTCCTTCCAGCTCTATTCTATTCTATTCTATTCTATTCTATTCTATTCTATTCTGTGCCACTAAACCACTTGGGACATAGGTAGGCAACCTAACGTCACCCTGAATGACCTTTACTGCTAATGATACAGTATCACCTAAGAGGCCAGGACCTTCTATACAGCCCAAATCTTCATTGCATTTATATCAGGTTTTCAGCTCAGAAACTGCCAGTCTGGTGGCCTAGAAAACTACTAGACCGACACATTTTGGAAAGGCAACCCCCGACCTCTTAATCAGCAAATCCAAAGCCAACTCCAGAAGCGCAGCCCAGCCTTATTCATGACCACCTTTGTGCTTTCCAGGTAAGCCACCAGGTTGAACTTTTTTTTTTTTTTCCTTTTTAACCCACATCCCAAGCAAGCAGCAGCAGCAGCAGCAGCAGATGGTGGTCCCCACTGACCTGTCCGTGATTGCGGACTGTGTGCCACTCATTGGAGCCCCCGGCAACAGGACGACTCTTTAGCCAATCTGCATCTTACGGGCAAATTTTTTACGCGACTGTCACTTCCCCACACTCCACACCCAAGTTCAGAATCCAGCCGTATTCCAACGGAGAGTAGAATTAAAAGCCACACAGGTTTGTTGTTCTTTTTTTTTCTTTTTTTTCTTTTCAATCTTCCAAAAGATCCACCTCCCAGGACGCTCGGGGAAAAGCCACCGGGATCTTCTGCCAGCAAGAAAGGAAGGCCGTCACAGCCATGATGCGCTCCCCTGACATCGCCTCGGTTCGCAAGGAAGACCCATCTCCGTCGAAGGACAGTTAATCGGCCGAGGAAGAGGATGATGATGATGATGAAGAAGAAGAAGGTGCCTCCGGTTCAATTCCTCCTTCCCAGCCCTTCGTTCCCTCATCACAACCCCAGGATCTTCTCCAGACTTTTAGAGCATTCCAGGACAGCCAGGTAGAGTCCTCAATTTGGCAAGGAGTCCTCAACAGGCTGGGGGGCTGTTCCCCTTCCAGAAAAACCCCAGAGATAAACAGCAGAAAGGAACCGGGGGAGTGCAGGAGAGGGGTGGTTAATGTAGAGATTCAGGGTGGATCTTCTCCAGGCTTCTACAGCGTCCAAGACAGTCAGATAGGTCTAGGCGAGGAATCCTCAACAGGCTGGGGGGCTGTTCCCCTTCCAGAAAGACCCCAAGGAAAACCAACAGAAAAAGAACTGGGGGGGGGGGGCTTTGATTTAGATATTCAGGGCAGGGGACCAGGAAAGGGGAGGCCTTTCTAGCTTCTTCCCTCCAACTCTTTAAGAAAAAAAAAGGATTTCCTCCAGGATCTCTGCAAGGTCTGGGTGCTGAGAAGCCAACCCCCCCACCCCTAAAAAAAAAAGCCTTTATGGGGCAGGCTTTCAAACCTTTCCAAATGGAAAGCAGCCACCCCCAAACACCCACACACACCCCAAAGGAAAGAAAGCAGGCAGGCAGGCCTTTTCCTTAAGAGGGAGGGGGGGGTGTCAAAAAATGAGGTGGGGGGCACAGCGGGGTCCCCTTTGGAGCTGCCCCTTCCAAGGGGAGCTCACACCATACCTTGAGGGAGATAAAAATACAAAATAAAAGACAAATTCCTACATAGGCGGGTGGGAAGGGGGAGGGGGCTTGCAGAGCCCCCTCCTCCACGAAGCCAGGCGCGCCCCCTCCCCCCGACAGTCCCGCGCCTGCGGGCCGGGTCGGAGGAGGAGCCCACCTTGGCCCCCGGCCCGCTTCCTAGGCCTCGGCGGGCTTCATCCCGCCCTCGGGGCTGCTGACAGGGCGGCTTGAGAGGCGCCCCCCCCCCTCCCGCCCCTCTCTCCACCGGCGGCCCTTTCCGGCCCGCTCGGCCGACTCGGCCCGTCCCGCCTGAGGAGATTTGGAAACGACGAGAGGCCGCCGACGAAGCCCAGCCCGGGGAGAAGCGGCTCTCCGCTGCCTGGCGAGCCGCTGCTTTGCTTTCTCCGTCGTCGTCGTCGTCGTCGTCCGTCTTTTCTCCCGCCGCCGCCGCTCCTGAGGCGATCTTTTTTTTACCTCAGGCCAACGGTCCCCGCCGGCTTCCCTCAGCCAGGCCTCGGCTCCCCCTCGGCAACCTTCGGCCTTTTCCGGCACTCCCGGGACTCGTTTTCCTTCGCCTCGGCTCTCCCTTCCCTTTGCGACGTTGGCCGCCGCCGCCGCCGCCGCCGCTCTTCCCTCCCCCCTCCCTCCCTCCCCCCGCGCTCCAGCTTTTTTTTTTTTTTCCACCCGACCTCGCGAGATCCCTCCGCCGGGACTCCGCCTGACGTGGTTGTGTTTTGTATTCCCTCCTCCTCTCCCGTAGCCTTGTCGCTTCCGCCGCGGGATGGAAAAAAATAAAAAAATAAAAAAGGGATGCGAGGAAAAGGAGTCCCTCGAAGGATGGGAAGTTCTGGAAAGCAGGAGCCGCGTTGTTTAAGAATAAGGGGTGGGTGGGTGGGGGATGCAGGTTTTCCAAAGAAGAGACTTAAGGGCTGAAAGGGAGTTGGCCTGGAATGGCGTGCAAAGAGAGCTAAAGAGCCAAAGCCACAAAAGTGAAATTGGGACGGAGTTGCAAAGTTGCTTCCACTTCTGTGAACCAACCGAGCTCATCTCCTTCCTTTTCAAGAGAGATTTCAAAGTTAGGACACAAGGCAAGGACAATAACTGCTCACAATCTTCTGCAGCTAAGAGCAACCCCCCCCCCCCAAATGCAGACTTCCAACTCTGTGAACCATACAACTTCCCTTTGGGGAGGTCTGCAAACAGTCGAGGTGATGCTATTCGTTATTTTTCCCTTCCTATGGACTTCTTTCCACGGAGTGGGGAAAAAAAAGACCGACAGAGACAGAGAGAGAGACCAAATGTTTAATGCTTTAAGCCGAGTGTGCTTATGAGCCTGCTCGGTCACAAAACCGGTTCTTTATATACCAATATACATCGTGCACATACACGATATGCAAAGCATCAAGACGCGGAAAGCCGGGCTGGCAAAACAGATGAGTTGATGCCTCAGGAGAACCATCTTGCTCACAAAAACAAGACTTTTTAAAATGTCAAGAGTTTCCTCCCCTCCTTCGTGGTGTTTTTGGCTTGGCCGGTGTTTGAATAAGATCGGCGAAAATCTTGCAGTCTTTTAAGATAATTAAAACTTTAAAAAGCCAGGAGGAATAGAAGCAAAAAGGTTGGTTAACCCTGAAGCTCTTGTGGGATTTTTTTCCAGCATGGATTCCATCGTTTGGCTATGCAACCCAAAGATAAGAAGAACAGAACAGAACAGAGAGTTGAAAAGGACTTTGGAGGTCTTCTAGTCCAACCCTTGCTCAAGCAGGAAACCCTATACCATTTCAGACAAATGATATTTGATGTGAAACAAATCTTGCTCTCTCTCTCTCTCTCTCTCAGCAAGTGAGGTCATTCTACAGTATGTTGCTGTGTCATCTAGTTTGTGCCTAAGTCCAGTGATCATTACACAAAGTGGACACAAGGAGAATGACCTGCATTAGAGAAGACTTGTTTGTGGAGATCCTCCGTCCTCCAGGTGCTGGTTGTCCCAAAGGTGTTTTGTTTTTTTGTTTTTCAAGAGGCAACTGGACTTTCTGGTTTTTCTTTGAAGACGTTTCTCTTCTCATCCAAGAAGCTTCTTCGGCTCTGACTTTGATGGTGGGAAGAAGAAGATGGTGGGAAGAAGGAAGGAAGGAAGGTGGGTGGGTGGGTGGAGGAATGAAGAAGGAAGAAAGAAAAGGAAAAAAGAGAAGAAAAGAAGAAAGTCTATGGAAAGAAAAGGAAAAAAGAGAAGAAAAGAAGAAAGTCTATGGAAATTCTCAGTCAGCCAGGTCTCCCGGTTGTCCCAAAGGTGCTTTTTTTTCAAGAGGCAACTGAACTTTCTGTTTTTTCTTTGAAGATGTTTAGCTTCTCATCCAAGAAGCTTCTTCAGCTCTGACTGGATGGTGGGAAGAAGAAAATGGTGGGAAGAAGGAAGGAAGGAAGGAAGGAGAGTGGGTGGATGGAGGAAGAAAGGAAGAAGAGAAAAAAAGAAGAAGAAAGTCTATGGAGCATCTCCTTCCACCAGGTGCTGGTTGTCCCAAAGGTGCTTTTTTAAGAGCAACTGGACTTTCTGGTTTTTCTTTGAAGGTGTTTCACTTCTCATCCAAGAAGCTTCTGAGCTGAACTGAAGACGCTTCTTGGATGAGAAGCAAAATGTCTTCCGGGAAAAACTAAAGTCTACTTATTTTCTGAAGAAGCACCCTTGGGATAAGAGAAGACGAGCTACCTTCCCTCTTCAGGAGAAAGGAAGACATTTTCTCCGAGGGGACCCTCCGGGGGGGAATTCGCGAAGGAAGGCTCAAAAGCTCCTATCCCCACAAGACACCGTTCCTCAACCATGGCAACTTGAAGGCACCAAGGCTGAGAAACATTGCCATACAGGTAATCCTTGACTTCTACCACCACAAATGGTGCCAGGATGTCCATCACTAAGCAAGGGGCTTGTGACGTGAGTCGCACCCGATTTTACAAGCTGTTTTGTTGAGGGTCATTAAATGAGTCGTGCAGTTGTTAAGCAAACCGGGCTTCCCCCGTGGTCAGGAGCCAGTGGGAAGATCACAAATGACAATCGCACGATCCTGGGATGTTGGAAATACATGCGGCTGGCCAAGTGCCTGTATTTTGATCACGTGACCACAAAGATCCTGAAAAAAAGGTCATAAATGTGAACCCCGGTCGTAAGTCCCTTTTTTTTCAGTCCCTTTGCGACTTTGAACCGTCACTAAACGAATGGCTGTAAGTTGGGGATTACCTTGTGCTGCGGTGGCGGGGTGATTAGAGTGCAGTACTGCAGGCTTCTGCTGCTGACTGCCAGCTGTCTGCAGTTTGGTAGTTCGATCCTGACTGGCTCAAGGTTGACTCAGCCTTCTACCCCTCCGAGGTCGGTAAAATGAGGACCCAGATTGTCACCCCAGAGGCTGACTCTGTAAACCACTTAGGGCTGTAAAGCACTGTGAAGTAGTATGTAAGTCTAAGTGTTATTCCTTCCTTCCTTCCTTCCTTCCTTCCTTCCTTCCCAGTGGTTAGAATGCAGTGTTGCAGACTAACTCTGCCCACAGCAGCAGTTCGATCCTGACCAGTTCAAGGTTGACTCAGCCTTCCGTCCTTCCGAGGTGGGTAAAATGAGGGCCCAGAGTGTTGAGGGCAATAGGCTGACTCTATAAACTGCTTAGATAAGGCTGTAAAGCACTGTGAAGCGGTATGTATGTCTAAGTATCATTGCTGTTGTACACTCTGCAGTGTTGAACATGCAATACTGTGTGCAAATACCATTTTCTGCGTGTGATTGTGAGAGGCATAATAAGGATATGTTTAGATTTATTCATGGCATGGAAACAATAGCTCGGGGTTTCTGTTTCTGCCCTCCTGGCTCACCGAATGAAAGCCAGCTGCTGCAGAAGGCAAGCCGAGGAAGCTGTGGCATCTGTGTGGGTTTCACACTGGTATTTGGCCTGCCGTGGGATAGAGAGAAGGGGAAAGATGGATGACAAAGAAGCCTTGCTTTTTATTTCTTGATTGTTAAAGTTGTTTGTCCCGTCACTTTCCTTTGCACCCATGAGGACTAGAGGCTTACAGTTTTTAAGGCACGAAGTTGATTCTGAGGCGGCCCCTCACTGTTGCATTGGTTCTCGTACTGTGTCCATCTACGATTTGTTTAAGTTTGACTTTAGTAGCTGAAATGCGTTAAAATATCAGTAGTTCGGGTTGGGAGTTAGGCTGTTGGTTTGAGTCTAATTTGCATCTCATAAAAAGGTATTTAAAGACCAGTGCTCTGGCAGACAAGCCCAACTCAAAACGCACGGACGGCGTCTCCTCGAATGGCGACGAACCACACTGGCAAGCTCGGAACTCAGACCGACAGCCTTACTTTAAGCGGCTCACGTTCGCTAGGTTTGCCTAAAATGCTAAGCAACAAATCAGAATTTAAGAGCTGGAGTTATGCAAGGGTCTCCCTGAAGCAAAATGTGTGTCGAATCAAATCAATAAATAAAGACTCTAAAATTCCTACCTGGCCATTTTCATTGCAGCTCAGTAATGATCAGAAGTTACATATCAGAAGCTGGATATTCCTTCAAGCTGTACCCGTGTTTTTCACCAATGAAAAGCAAAATTAAGTACTGAAAACACGACTTATCTTCTTTTCCCTGGCGGCATTAAAATACGAAGGTTTTCAAAAATAAAAACTGTGTACCAAAGCTACCCACATGGGTAGTTCAACCTTAGCAACTTTAAGATGTGTGGGTTCTTAACTCCCAGAATTCCCCAGCCAGCTTGGAATTCTGGGAGTTTAAATCCACACTTCTTAAAGTTCCAAACGCTGAAAAACACCGCTTTAGACTTTGAGAAAGAGTCCCCAAAAGAGAGTAGGGTTGTTGTTGCTTTTAAAGTTTTCTTACATCTGCATGGCAACGATTCCCATATACTTCACCAAAAGTGACACCGCTCGATGTATTGACTTAGGGCAAAAGAACCGTTGAGCTGAAAGTCCAGGATCCAAACGGTTTCTGAGAAACTGTCTGTTCGGAATAAACGGTCCTGCAAACTTTTATTGACTTTTGCAGCTCTCTTTTAGATCCACGGCCATCAGGGGAAAACACTTTGGCTAGGCTAAGCAAGGTTTCTATGGCAGGAATCCTGTCTCATTTATTTCCCCGTGCCAGGAAATCCATGGGCAACCTGAGTTTGGCGCATTCTCTAATGCTGCAATCTGTCACCATTAAAGCTTTATTGCCCCACGAGTTTCTTTTAATTCACAGCATTCGGGTCCAAATGAACAGCCTGCACAATGTCCATTGGGAAGTGAGGAACATTTGGAAGAGGCTCTAAATTGCCAGGAAACGTTCTCAGAAGGAGAGCAGAGAGATTAAAGTAGCAATTAATATTAAAGATGGCTGCGTTGCATGATTGAAGCGACACAAAACTATTTTGTAATAAATACGACTTACACTCTCATACAAAACAAGCACACTTTCTACTGCAGTGTTTCTCAACCCAGATAGCATTTAAGATGGGTGGACTTCAACTCCCAGAATTCCCTGGGAGGAAGGCTAGGAATTCTGGGAATTGAAGCCCACCGCCAAGGTTGAAAAACACCATTCTAGTGTGTAATATAACAAGCTATTCAAAATAGATTGTTTTCTGGGATTTTAAATATTGTCTCATTTTTGTATCAAAGAAGGAAATTTATAGAACCTGGTACAATTTTTATAGAGGGCCCAGAGTAAAAAGATTTAATTTGCTAATTAACATTCATGGCACAGACATACAGGAAGAAAAACCGGATTTTTGCAAGCCATTAGATGGCTGTTGTTGCTTTTATTTTTTTTAAAAAAAAAGCTTACAAAAACCTCCTTTTTAAACGATCGTGTCTCTTGTAGAGAGAATTGGCAAGAGAAAAATAGTAAAACTGTGGCAGGTTATGAAACAACAGCTATGAAAATGGAGCATTTCAATAGCAGTGTTTCAAGAAACCATTAGGATTACTATTATGTACAGCGCCTGGATTGGGGAAAATGAATTTGATTCCAGAAACGGCAACCTCCTTCACATACCACACAAAGCCACAAATTTATTACACTAAATAAAACCCCAGGCTAGGTTTGATTTATCTATCAAACCGTAAACCGTGGTGCTTGATTCGCCCTTCACCCGTATTGCTTTTTCAATTTTGGCTTAGAGGGATGTGTACATTTAGCATCCCACATCTGGCAGTACATAGTTAAGAGAAGCTTGTCTTAGTACAAAAACTTGACTGTACAGATGTGAGGTACTGGTGTGTCTTGATTGGCTTTTCAGAATGCAGCAGCTTCCAATTTTTCTTCACAGATCTTCCTCCCAAGCTCTCCTTCCCTTCCTGCCTCTTAAAAATATTGTCATCTGAAGGCTTTCGAATGAAGATGGGGAGCTCTGGTTTCCCTATGAAGGCTTGAAAAAAAGCCAGGTGGTGAGTTGTGTTTTCATTTGTTCGGATAGCAGGATAACAGAATTGGAAGGGACCTTAGAGGTCTTCTAGTCCAGCCACCCTGCTCAGGCAGGAAATCCTATACCATTTCAGACAACTGGCTGTCCGATCTCTTCTTTAAAACCTCCAGTATTGCAGCATTGCTAGTATGGGTCGTTGTTTTTTTTTCAAACTGTCAAAAAACATGAATAGCCAGAAGCTTAAAGTCCTGCCAATATGTGTTGCATCTCTGATTCATCCTTGTATGCGTTAATTAAAAGAACACCTATTTATTATTGGCTTTTTAACAACGAAAACTGCTTTTCTTTCTGTGGATGTGTACAACAGTGGGAGCAGACATGTAACACATAAAAGCATGAGATGTTGTGGCCCGTCGCCAGTGGAGGAGGTTGGGGAGGGACATGGGCCTGTCTTGGAGTCTGGGGAAGGCTCTGATGAGGGCTCTGTGTTGGAGGCAGAGATGGGGCCAGGGCCCTCTGACAGTTATCAGCTGCCTTCAGAGTCGGAGATCAGTAGGGCAGAAGAACAGCTGGAGCCTGCTCCTGCTGTGCGCATGCGCAGAGCTGCCGGGAGAAGGGAACAGCTAAGGAACAAGGGTCAACTCGGGAGTAAAGGCATAGGTGGACGTTGAATGGCCCCTCCCCTAGGGAATAAAGAGGAGCGAAAGGGGAGTGGGGTTTGCAGGAGGCAATTAGTTCATTTAATTAGGGTGAAGATTTGCTCATGACTCCTTGCCAAGTATTTTCTTGTACGGCCTTGCGCTTGGAAGCTTTCGGCCTGGCAACTCTCCAAGCCCGATAAGGTCTGTGGTTGTCAATCCCTCTTGAAAGATTGCTTGCCGGACTTTGCTGGATGTGAACGAGAGGAATTCACATTTAGTCTAATAAAAAAGGGGTCTTGTTGGGACGAGGAGTCTGCTTTGTGATTTTGTGAAGCCTAGGTCAGAACATGAACATCCAGGCCGCTGCTTCTACGCGCGATATCATCATGCCAGCGCCAGGCATACACTCTACCAATTTTATGTCCATAAAATCTTTTTTTTTAAAAAATTATTTGTTATAAAACATAATACAGTTCTGCTGTGCCCATCGCTGGTGGGACACTGGAATCACTGTTACATGGTAATGCCAGGCGTGTATACACGTTGACCTCTTAGTGACAACTTCATCGGTTAGCCCTTTCAAAGACCAAAGCCCTTCGCCCTCTGGGAAGGAAGAGTTTTGAGGAACAGAGCAGCATAGAAACCGTAGTCATAAAAGAAACCATTTGTCAGTCCATCCATCCATCAATAAATAAATAAAATTAAACAGCTCGTCTCTTCAAAGATTGGCTTCCTGTCTGTCAAACCTGGCCCTTTCGCAGGGAAGCGGTCGATGAGAGGCCAGGTGAGCGAAGGAAACAAACCTACTTTGAAACCTGGAATGTGCCCATGGGATGAACATTCGCAGGTTCCTCTGCTGGAAAACCTGAGCAGATTCCTCGACCGTGGGAAATCTAGCACACCAAGGAGATCCTTTTAGCTCCCCGTCCCACCCTGCCCCCCACTCCCTGGTATGAAAATCATCCCAGCATGGAAAAGGGGAATCAGGCTGACATTGGCTGCAGAGGGGTTAACTCTAAATTCTGCAATCTCCCCACGGGAATCCAGACTGATTTCTAAACTGGTTTCTTTTTTTCTCTCTCTCTCTCTTTTCTTTTCTTTTGTTAGTCTTAGTTGACTCTCTTTTGCTCAGTACAGATGATAACAGGAAACATTTTGTGTTGGTTCAGCAATAGGATTGGCAAGGAAAAGAGAGCGATGGAGAAGATCTCCCAGATCCGGAAGGAGGCAGCTATGGAGGAAGGGGTCTGGACAGTATCTGGAAGGAGGCATGCATGCATGATGGATGCGTGGGTGGACAGAGATAGGAAGGGTGGATAGATAGATGGATGGATAGATGGAAGGAAGGTAGATAGGAAGGATAGGTGGGTGGATGGATGGATAGAAGATCAGAAGGATGGATAGGTGGGTGGATGGATGAGTGGATGGATGGATAAGTGGATAGAAGATAGGAAGGATGGATGGATGGAAGGAAGAAGGAAGGTAGACAGGAAGGATGGTAGGAAGGTTTGGTGGATGGATAGATAGATAGATAGATAGATAGATAGATAGATAGATAGATAGATAGATAGAT